ATTATGTGATTATAATTTTGCATTTGTAGGAAAATATATCTTGTGAAGTGGAGAAAATTATGCCTATATTTTTTTTGCATATTTGATGAAATTTCTTCTCTTTATTGGATTTTATAAGTTAAGTGATAAATATGGTCAATAAGTGCAATACTCTTCTCATGATTATTTTTTTTAGAAACTTATTATTCTCTTTGCTATAAAAAAAAAGAAAAAAAAATGATGAAAAATGAAAAAAATGAAGAAAAAGAGAAAAACAAAAAACAAAAGAAAAAAGAAAATAAATAAAAATTCTTCTACTCCAATGATTCTTGTACTTAGTAACCGGGAGTGTTCATCTACAAATGTCGACTTTCGCGTAAAACGGTACTTGAATTAAGAGTATGCAAAGCAACTTGAGTATGTGAAGTGTTGAGTAACCGGTGATCTTCATCTAAAAATGTCGATCCTCGCGTCAAAAGGCATTCTCACGTCTTAAGTAATATTTAGATACGTAATATTAATAAATATCTTTTTAAACAGAATTAAAAGATGATCATGAGTTTAGGAAGCATTATTATTGACCATATGAGTTGCTTGCTTGTGAAATCAGGTAAGGATGAAAAATTGATTTGAATTTGTTATAATGATGGTATAATTGGCTCTCCTTTACTTGATATTATGAGTACTTGAACTTAATTGAATAATTGCATAATGGTTATTTACTTTGTTTTGAGGAGATGAAATTGAAATGCTACATATGTTTATTTTCAAATTTTGGATCATTGTTGGTTTGTATTTTTATTGCTTGAGGACAAGCAATGGTTCAAGTGTGGGGGTATTTGACAAGGGTTTATTTTACGTATTTTTAGTGTGTTTTATTAGTTAATTTTGGTTTGATTATTTAGTTTTATAACTAAAATAACTAAGGTTTTGGTAAAAATCTACATTTTATGTTAAATTGGCTAAATATTGCATTTGTTGGATTTTTATGGGAAAAACTTCATATTTTGTAGGTTTAATGATTCAATCATCAAATGAAGTGCATTGAGAAGATATTTGGATGATTGAAGATGGATTAAAGTGGGGAAAATAAAATATGAAGTGTAAAAGGAAGAAATGCAATTTGAGGACAAAAAATCAAGAAAAGTCAGCTTTGACAACTCAGACATATTTTCGTATTTTGACTATATCAGGAGCTACAATGATCGGATCAAGGTGATCTTGGTACCATTTTGAAGCTAAGAGATATATCTGCATTTGGTATGAAGACATCAAAGTCCAATTCAGCCGTTTTCCTGGTCAAAAGGTCGAAACACAGAAACTTATCTGGATGGTCGAAAGCTGAAACCCAGAATTGACCAGTCTATGGTATTTTGACCATATCTCCGTCCACCGATCTCCAAATTATATGATTCTTGAAGCATTGGAACTCTAATTCAAAGGGCTACAACTTTTGTGTTTTACACAAAAGCCAGTTCGGCCTTCATCATGGAGAAAAATGCAGTTGAAGTGAGGTCAAAAGTAAAAACGTGTCTGGCAGCCGAATTTCTGTAATTTGCTCAGCCATTTTTCTCATCTTCACACTACTTTCCAGCTAGAGTTGGAGAGAAAACGTAGGCTGCACATGCTTCAGAAGACATAAGGAAGAGATATAGCCAAGGTTCCAAGTCAAAAGCCATTATTTTTGACTCCCTTAACAAATTCAGATTTGGAGAATCATAGCAGAAATTTTTGACTGGTAAGGGAAGGACTTTTCATCAGCTTATATGCAGGACATTCAGAATCATACGGGAGAAGCTTGGAGTCTGCAAAAATGTAGCTTTTCCATTCTCTTATTGTTAGATTAGTTTAGTATAGAGTAGTAGTTCATCCTTCTTGTTTATTAGCTAGGCAAAGATGAAGAAGGAGATGAAGAAGGCAAGGAAAGAGCTCATGTGACAAGGGTTATTTTTCCTTTCCAACTCTTTATCTTTTGTATTTGATTCCAAGTTTAGCTAATATATAAGTTCTGGATTTTGTGTTTAATATGTGTCTTTAAAGTTTATACCTTGGGTTTGGTTGAACTTTCTATGATTGTTAGTGTTAATCATTTGGCTATATAACTGCTATGTTTTGAGCAAGTTATTTAGCACTTTGGCTCTTTAAATCATGATTAATCTGGTACCATTAATTCTGATTATCTAAGGTGTTGTTTCTGCAATGGAAATTGAGATTTAACACTAGTTCAAGAAGTGCTAAACATAGGGAGTACACTCACGAAAGTAGAGGTGCACCTATGTGGTTTTTAGTGATTCATTTCATGTAATTTCACTGAAGAAATGAACTTGTAGCTAATTTCATAACCATGAGAATAGGTATGGATTAGTTATAAGTATAATTGATTCACTACGAAAGTAGGATTCAAATGTATTAGGAAATTACACCATAATTAGCCTAGATGTAGTATTCAATGATCCAAATATAACACTTGCATGAGTAGTTAGGGATACCACAACCTAAGGAGCTTTTATTTGTTAATTTCTTGTATAAGTGCAGTAGGTTAAATTTCTTATTATTCATTGATAGTCTAAATAATAAAGAAACTTTAGTAATACCGGTAATTGTTCACTCTTCCTTGTGGGATCGACCCGATATATACCCTAAACTACTAGTTGATCTGTATACTTGCAGTGAACGGGTGTAATTCGGTATTTTTTAGCTTGCACGTATGTAAAATACCCGTCAATTATAAAATTAAGAAATTTTCTTCATTGTTTTTGGTACTCATGAACTTAGGCACTTCAGTAGGTATTGTTTCCTAAGTTTTATATTTTTTAATATCGGACTTTATGCGTTAGGGATTTTTTTAATTTATACACTATCAATGTTAGAATTTATCCTCTGTACGCTAAATTTGGAGTATATGAATAATAGTTTTGACATTTTATTTTGAACTTAGAATAAACTCTATATTAGTATTGTACATGCAACTAGATGCTTTTCATATAACACATGTACATTAAAAAGTGATTATAAAAGAATATATATATATATATGAATTTAAATCAATAAATGTGCATTTAGATGGCTGTTCTTGGAGCGTTTTAGCAAAAATTTTATAGCAAAAATTTGTTTAAAAACTATATGCCTATTTATATAGAAATACTAAAATTGTATCATTTTACAAAATTTATACTCTAAAGTTTAATTTTTTTCAAGGACTGCAATTTTAGCTTTTTCCATACTTTTTAATATACTTCAAGTGTTTAACATAAGATATATAAATACGATATTGCGATATAAGTCAAATGATAGGATGACACTATATTGATTTTTTAGCCATTTTTCACAAAATCATTTTAAATAAAGTAATCATTATTGGCTGATGAGGGCCAAAGAAATTGGAGGTCTTGGACTTTAATCCCTCTTCCCCTTCCCCACTTACTTAAATCCTATCACTTCTCTATTAGAAAAAAAGTTTTTAAATAAATAATTTTTTTATTATTACTAAAATTTCAAATATAAATCCGTGCATAGCATAGGTCAAAATGCTAGTTAGTTAAGTACCTTCAAAGCAAGGGGGATGCCTCCACCCTTTATTCGATCAGACTCGGCGACTTTAGTGGGCATCCTTCAGCGACGGTTCTATTGTCTTTGGTATGTTCGAATGGAGGTGGAAGAGATATGGCAATTGGTGGCGGGGAGAATTGTTTCTCACACTGTTTTCGAGAGATGAACAAAGTGGCGGACGCCTTGGCCAACGTGGGAGTCACGCACACCCAAGAATCGCTTCGGACCTATGATAGCCTTCCAGCAATTCCTTTGTTAGCCAGAGGGGAAATTCGACTTGACAAATGGGGAACTCCTGCTATTAGGAGAGTGAAGAGGTCATGAGAGGGCAAGACTTGTCATGAGTTTAGAAGATTGTGTTGCTTTTCTTGTTCTTGGTTCTTATTATGAATAAAATATAATTTTATTTTTAAAAAAATCCTATTTCTTAAGAAAGGTAATTCCCTTATTCCACTTCATTTGCGATAATATTACATGCCACCTCGTGCCTTAACTATTTCAATCAAAATACAATTAAAGTTTCAAATTTTCAAAAGCAAAAGTAGAAGCAAAAGTAGAAGTTGGGGACAAAGTAAAAAGAAAAAGAAAAAGGTGAAGCTTAGTACTGAGAAAAGAAATTCTCTTGACAAAAAAAAAAAAGAAAAGAAATTCTCACAAGGATTCCCCTAAGTAGAAGTGGGAACAAAGTCTGAGTACTGAACAAAGTCTCAGTACTATTTCAAAAGTGAAGTAGAAGTGGGGACAAAGTCTTAGTACTGAAAAAAAGAAAAAGGTAAAGTTTACACTATAAAAAGAAATTCTCACAGGGATTCCCCCAAGTAGATGATAAACTTTACCCATTATTCCCCAACAAGCAAGGGTAAATTCCCCAAAAATGGAAGTTTTTAAAATAACTTTTGAAAGTGTGGTAGTTCTTTTGAACCTTGTCCTAAAGAGTGAAAACGCACTCAGGAGGCGTTCATTTTTTTTTTTTTGGCCGAAATTAAACCGCATCTCCATCATCCATTCTTTAATTTTTTGTAAATTCGATGAAACAATTTTTTAGGAGAAAGGGGAAGGAATCCATGAAATGCGTTCTTCAATACTTTTAGGACAAAAACTACATCTATTGTCGTGTAACGTATCTGGTGTGAGGTCGCAATTGAATTAAGCTTTATATTATTTTTCTTTGGCATAGCAAAATTTCATTGATCAGCAGGAAAGTACTAAAGCAGTATCCACAACCATTAGGAGCACAATATTCCATCAATCCACAACAATAAAACAACTATATTATCTTAAAAGAATCTATGAGTGTATGTAAGCTTTTATTGTAGTACGACTTTATTCCATCAGTTGAGATTTCTATAATAATGTGAATTCCATCAGTTGAGATTTCTATAATAATGTGAATTATTTATTTTCTTCTCTCTAACACAAATATTTTGAGTGATTATTTTATTCCTTCAATTCCGTAACCCTACACACATTAATTATTATTAAAACTCTAAATTCGAGTCATGCAAAATCATGTACTACAACAAACTGGAAATAACCTGACAGATCCAACTACACCTGCCCATTCCCTTAAAACATGCTTTCCTAACGGGTCAACAAATGATGCCTTTACATGATCACATTAATTTGATCAGGGAACTTAACTACATTGACTTAATATCCTTAATTCATCCCAAAACCAGCCACGAAGGAAGTCAGGGTATCGCCGCCCCAACCTTTTAGGATTAATCACGTTGCTCAGAACTTGTTTTGATCAGAGTAGAGAGTGACCCTCTTGGCATGCCAGGCCAGCTGCTCAATTGGTAACCTGTGCCACTTTAAGCAGAAACGCTTCTGCATTAATGTGAATAGAAGAGGCTGAAAATATTAAGATCTTGAACGTAGTTGGTATACTTAGCGACAAGGTTAGGAATCTCGCCAGTAGAAGTTCAGGATGCAGAATTTTCATGGTTGTAGAGAATCTCAAACTTGATTGCCGGCACCACGGATTTCATCTCGTTCCATCTGGTCACGCTTATACCGATTTGGAGCTTGCCCAAGGAATTCAGGAAATTTGCACCTCATTATCAACATAGTCAAACCGAATCCGATCATGACTGGGTAGAAAGCATGCATTTGTAAAGAACGTGAGTGCGGTGCTATGATGGTTATCGAAAATGTATAGCTCATCAATAGAGTTGACAGAGGGATAAACAGCAACAAATTGTAACGGCTTGTGGGGAGCAGACTGAAGATAATGCCAAGGGAGGCTGCGAAAGCTACCGTGTTCAAGGTAATAAAAACATAGAAGTAAGCCTCTCCCATTTGCACTTTTCCTGTGCTCTCTGTAATTTTAGTTTTTCTGGCAAAATCTGAAATAGGAGAAATGTCGCTAGAATTGCTGAAAAATAAAGTGGTATCACCTCCTGATGAAATTCCTCCGGGAGGGCTTAGTACGGCTTGATAGGTAGCTGTTGCAATTAGAACAGCTACCACTAGGAGGGCATTTCGCATCTCACTGGACAAACCATCCAAACCAACATCACATTCCATTTGCCTGAAAGCTTTTCTGGTTAATGATTCCTTTGAACTCAAACTATCAGCTAAAGTGTCAACTGGGGGCAGAGCTGAAGATGTTTTAGCACCTGCACCACGTAAAGCTATGGCAATATTCTGATCTCCTGCGGTTGCAAGTGCCGTAAAAGTATCGAGGCATGTTAAACCTTGTAAATTCTTTTCATTTATTTTGACTTTGTTGATCAGCAACCTAACAACCTGAAGAAATATCAAGATTTTAATAAGACTATCAGTGGATTACTAGAGTAAAAGTTTATTATTTTTATAGAAATTGTATTTAGATTTTTTTTTTTATATTCTTCTTATAATCCTTGTGCAAAGACAGTGAATCATAACTCAATTGGTAAACCGCTTCACTAAGCGGTTGCGGGTTCAAGTGATTGAAGGACTAAAGTAAGGAACTATTGTGAATCCTCTTAGTAATTTAAAAAAAAAAAAAAAAAAAACCTTAAGCAAATGACGCAATGAGCATGAGGACTTGCTTTTGATCTTGTTAATAGTTACATAATTTTGTGGGAGGGAACTGTCACCAATAAAATCTTCTAGCTACAAAAATTATGCAAATCCTAGGGGTGTCAATTAAGATTTATAAGTTCAGCTTTGACAAGTCAAAACTCAATTCACAGAAAAAAGGTACAATATTTAGGCTTTTATAGTTCGGGCTTTTGGGCTGACATTTTGATATCGAAATTCAACTCACAAATATTATGAGAGTTGTGAGCCTAACTTTGGACTTCACCCAAACTCATAATTAATACTATAATTAATACGTAATTATGTATTTAATGTAATATATTATTATAAAGTTATATATAAATTATAAACTCCATGCATTATAATATATAATTGTACATTTGACTGGCCACTAAATAGAACTTTGGTGGGCTATTTAGCCGCATCTGATTGGTGCTGTATTGTCGACCCCTCAGCTTTTTGTCGCACCAAAAACAAGGGGACAATGCTAATGCGGTTGTGTTTTGTTCCCATTTTTTACTGGTTACACTATTTTGTCTGCGGTCATATTTTATTATCGCTAGTGTTAAAGGTACGAGTGATTTGTATACAATTCAGAAATACTCTATTTTTTGTAAATTAATTTTATATAAAATTTCATCACTAAAGCAAAATATGGTATTTTTACATTTTTTTTCCAATCAGATGATTTTGTTATTTTGGTAGATATAGTGCTTAAAGTTAGATGTTTAGTCAAGATGTGTAGATAATAATTATGGTTGTAGATATTTTGTCAAGATATGTGTAGATAATTGTGGCTAAGAATAATTCCAGATAGTTATCTTGGCACTTTATGTTTTGATAGCAAAGTAATAAGTGATTTTCGTAAGGTTAAAATTGAAAATATATAAAGTGATAAAAAGTGTTCACCCCAAACCCCAACCTCTCCCTTTTTATATAGTATACATATTTGTAAGAAAGGTTATATATGTAAATAAAATAATTTACATAAGAATAATACAACATTGTAATGTGATAGTAAAATATGGGATGCGTATAATACAAAATGTTATACATATGCATATTATACAAATTTTTTTCAAAAGTACGATGAAAAGTTTGGCATAAAAATATATGTTCAGCAAAATTATGCATATAAATTCGTACATGAATAGTACGAATATATTTGAAAGTTACAAAACTAAAAATACGGATAAGTACACTATAGATATCAAAGACCATGCTATATTTATTCTAATTTTAAATTTATTTTCATGTATGAGAAATTAAAATTTTTAAAATTTTATCACTTTACTATTTAAATATGTATACATCTACCAGTTTTATGATATATATAGCTCTTATTTTCTATATAACTCAAAAAGTATGTTATTATCTAATTTTAAAATTTTTTGAAAAAGTGAAGTAAAATTTATACAGTTTTATACTGCAAAAATTGAAGTATGTTATTATCTTCCAGTTTTATACAATCAATTGAAAAGTATGAGTATTTTTCAGAGTATTTTTGAAATGCACAAAATGCGAAAGTTTTTTCGGATGATACAAGCATTGTACATGTATAATATTAGTATTTACTAACTATGTGATCGTACACCAAAAATTTTAAATATGTACGATAATTGGAGCGAACCAAACACAACACAAGCACACTATTTCCTCATCCGAAAAAAGATGGAGTTTTGATCTGGAATTCAAATAAAAAGTTAACATAGGAATAGGATTTATATCACTTAACCCTCTCAATCTTTAGGGTCACAATCACTTTAGTTCCAAACGTTAATTTTTTGCTACTCAGCCGGTCAGCCCCCTCTACTATGCCAACTCCGCTAAAAAATAAAATAAAATAACAACAACTTTATTATACCTTTTTTAAACTTTAGCACTTTTAGTACTTCAGTTTCTCCATTTCTTCTTTTTTTTCCCTTTTTTTTTGCCGCTTTTCCTTTACTTGCGTAAACTGACATTAAATAACATAAATTTCACACCAAAATTTCACTCATGACGAGTGGAAGACAAAATTAACAATAGTTGACTAAGAAATTAACAATATATTGAAAATCAAGCCATGATTTACGTTATACAATGTACGAAACCCATGAAATTCTCTAAGCTGTTGAATAAAAATATATTTTCATAATATTATTTCAATACAAAGGACATGATTAAACACCACAATCATATAAAATCTAGCCAATAGCAAAGAATTTGAGTACTCTCTAGCACAGAGTCAAATTTCATAACCCAACTTTGAAGATTTACAGACCAAATAATTTCTCTTGATTTAAGGATTTCAATGGTGTATTGATCTTGGTCATAAATTCTCCAGATAAAATATTCTTTTTTCCCTAATTTTTTCTCAAATTGTAATTTAACAAAAAATAATGTTAGCGATTAAATTGCTAGAGGTGCTAAAGGTTAACTGCAAAGGTGATTGAAGGAGTAAAGTGTTAAAAAGTGAAAATGATAACCCAAGAAAAAAAAATTTTCCAAAAAGGTGCCTAAACATCACGTAGCAAACACACACGAAAAATCTTTAAAAATAAAAAAGGAAAAAACACTTGCCTCCAGTTGGTTTTTAGAGGCCGCAACATGCAAGACTGTATCTCCATTATCGTCTTTCCTGTTCAAAATCTGTTCATTGTTTGTCCTCTGAAGCCAACCTAACAGCACCTGTAAAGCTCTGACATTCATATTTCTCACAGCAATATGAACAGCCGTTTCTCCTCGAATTGTCAAATCTTGAATGGATTTTGGCATGTCACTAGGAAATCAGCCAAAAGATCAGCATTACCCACTTCAGCTACGTGGTGCAAAGGCGTATACCTCTCTCTTCCTTTGCCACGAATGAGCTCAGGATCTTGCTGTATGAGCCGTTTAATTGTTTGGAATCTTCGGTTCTGTAGCGCCAAGTCCAGTGGAGTATAGCCATCGGGGTTGAGCTTCACGCCGAATGAGGGCTTTAAGCTTAGGACTTCAAGGGCGAAGTGGGTAGAGGCTGTAGAGCCGACAGCTGCTGCTGTGTGTAAAGGTGTATCCATGAATGATGGCTTATCAAATTTATCCAAGAGAGCTGGATCCAGCCGAAGTAATTCATACAAGATGTTTATGTCTCCTGATTGTGCAGCCTCGGTCAATTTCCGCTCCATAACTTGCTACAAAGACTTGATTTAGCAACCGCTTTCCTCGTACAACATTGCAATGAATATGTGTATATTGCTTTTCTACTACATCGCACTAAGAGCTTGATCAGATGTTTCAACGAAATTGCAGCATTGACCAAAAGGAATAGATCAAAATTCAACCTACGAGGGAAAAATCCGCTTTTCGTGTCTAAACTTTGAGCTACGGACATATTTCATTACCAAACTTTTTGACGCATCACATTTAGTACATGAATTTATTATTTTTTACTATATTTAGTCCAAAAACGAAAAATTGCTTAATTTGAATCGAAAAAGCCACGTGTTTGGCACATGACTGTTAAGTAAAAAAAATTTTCAGTCAAAATGAATGGCCACATCAGCTTTCTCCATCCAAATTTACCATTTTTGAATTAAATGTGGCTCAAAATAATTAATTCATGTACTAAATGTAATGCGTCTAAAAGTTTGGGGATGAAATGTGTTCCTAATTCAAAGTTTGAGAACGAAAAGTGAATTTTTTCCCAACCTACCGATGTCGTTTTCTTTTGGGCAGACTACGCATAATCTACGCATAATCTCTCTATGATTTTTTGTATTATCACATATTCTCCTTAAAGTTTAAAAATGTCTGTATGAGCATCCTTATGACCACCCCTACACAATCCCTAGAAAATAGACAGAAAGTATGAATGTTTACTGTGAACGAAGCAGAAGCATTCGAGAATATGTATGATGGAATTATAATATCTATTTAGTTATCCTATTATGCACTTTATTTCTTGTAATTTTTATATTTATTTATATAATTATCTTATATTTTTATGTAAGGTGGTCAAGCAGTTGTTTGATTTAGTGTTTAAATAAGGACAATATTAATATTTTGGCTAATGGCATTATGGAGAACATTTTTCATCAAATTTTCACTTTGTGTGAAATCAATTTTTTGATATGAATATTTTAAAACGTTAGAAGGTCATGTAACAATCTATGAATCTATTTACCTTTTTCTTTTAAATATATAAGTAAAAGTTCATTGGCAGTAATTTCTTGGCATTTTACGTAATCGAATGTCGCTGTACTTGCTTCTTAGCAACTCGCAGAGGCATGCCCCGAATTTTCTCGTCTGGAGCCAAAAGTTCTTGGACTTGCATTACTAGCGGTCTCAACTTTCATATTCCGACTATTTGTTTTATTTTTCTTTTCCTAGTTGGCCAAGGCCTCTTCAGTCTCTACCCTATATTTACTAAAATTTGGAAACTATTGTGTACTTATGTTACATGCTATAGCTAGTAAAAGCTATGTTTTCAGAACCAGACCGGGTATCGACTCGGTCAAGCTCAGGAGTCAGGGGTCAATGGGTTCAACCGGGTTCGATAGGAATTGAACCGAATGACGTCATAAATAAAATTATTTAAAAATTAAAATATTATATGTAAAATACCTAATAACATGTTAATATTAATAAAGGTATATTCATATATATTTGATGTTTCAAATATATTTAACAAGAAAATACAAAAAAATTAGAACAATCAAATAGCAATTTATATTATTTAATGAGTATTAACAAGTTTAGAATTAAAATTATGGATTTAATTGAAAAATAACACCAAACTTTAAGAAAACATTGATAAAGTATGAAATATTTGAGGTATATTAATAATTTTTAACAATCTAAGGGTCAAAATATAATATTGAAAAAGTTTGAGTTTTTTTTTTAAAATTCTGCTTGAACCGGAAAATCTAGTTTTTTCCCAGTCAAACCCGGTTCTTGACCGGATTTGACCGGATTTTTACTTACCCGATTTTTTAGCATAACTCGGACCGGACACTTGGCCGGTTCCCGGTTCAATCGATCGAACCGGCCGGTCTGATCCGACTTTTAAAACACAGAGTAAAAGGGCATTTAAATTCACATTATAGTACTGTATTTTTCATTGGATTTTTTGACTAATATTTAAATTTTTAGAAAGTCAATATACCAATTAAGCGATGTTTGAATGCCCAGGTAGAGCTGCACATCTGAAAATGGGATAATTTCAGAAACCTCCTTTGAGATTTCTAACTATTTCACTGGTTTTTTTATGTTTCAAAAATTATAATAACCCCCCTTAAGGTTAATTATCTTATAATATTTATGACAGGTTGTCGAACCTGTGCAATAATAATTACTAAAAAGTCCTAATGACCACCACAATTAATTATAGAACAAATCCAAGTACTGGAGCAGGGATCTTAAGTGTGCAATGGGTTACTTGATTCACCCTGTTCCCGAAGAGTTTGCTTGATCCGATATACCTGAATTGTCTATAAAAGTATTAAATTTGCGTACAATGGCAGGTAGGGTCGATTCCACAGGAAACGGGTAGGAAGTTATTTCTTTCCAAATCAATAGAACAGAATTTGGGGATATTTAATGGAGTGAAAATAAAATTAAAATAAACAAAATTCAAAAGCTAATTCACCAAGTGCAATTTACTAAAAATAGCAATTAATAAAATTCTACCCAAATGATCAACTTTTCAGGCACGGTCTAATTAAATGATCATCGATGCAAAGATATTCCATTCATTCGTCTCTAGGTTGGTTATAGCTGTCAACAAGCTCTGACAGCCAGTCTTTCCTTACTTTTTCGACAACCAAGGTACGACCGTTGACTGCTTCTCTAACCAGAAAACAATTCTAGGTACGACCGTAGGAATTTAATTATCCAGTTGCATTAAAGCTAGAAAAACTCAACCCTAACCAATAAACGCGTTAAGAGGGTTTATTTAAACTAGATCTTACGTTTCCCCAACACAAAGTCAATTATGATGGTTGTCACTATTTATCAACTAAACGAACAATTACGGATTCAATTTAGTTAATGTGATAGTAGGCTATTAGATTAAATTAAATATCCGGCCGTTGATATTCATTTAATAAAATACTCATGAACAATTAATCCAGAAAACGCACGAATAGTAACGAATTGAAAAAAATAGTGACAGTTTGATTAGATCTCACAGATGTTGTCGACCGTGCCTTCGCGTCGACCTTTGGATAGAGGAGAAACCTAGCCGCTCCTCATCGTGTCACTCTCGCATAGTTTAATTGATTCCATCCACACAATTGTCAAAAAATTTGGAAAGGTAGAGTAACGCAGAAAGCAAAAGGAAAAATCTTAATTATCTCTGGGTCTGTGTTCGTACTGAAGCAAAAAGTAAAAGAGAAGCACTAGGAAAAGTCGGCTACAATCAAGAGCAAAAGCAGCGAGTAAAAAAATTGTCTGACCGGGGAAAACAAAAGCTCATCTATTCCTTGCACGTGATTCTGGCTTTTTAGCCTTTTGTAGCCAGCAGAAGCAAAGAAACGTCAGGAGCAAGACTTTGTGTAGGGGTTTTAATCCCATGCATCTTCGCGGTTCACGTGGACCTGATTTCCTAATTGGCCCTGCTGCTACCAATCTCGCGGATTCGGCTTTTGGGTATCCTTCTAGAGTTTCTGGCGTAGGCACTCCATGAAATAGAGAGTCTTCTGAAAATTTACCTCGCGAGAACACTTCTTACACTAACCACCTACACTTTATACAAATACCAAATATGAGCAAAATCTCAACACTTAGCACCGTAAGTAACCAAGATTATGACCAAATAATAGCGAAAAGGTGCCCAATAGTTGCTCTATCAATTTAGGTCCAACCAATAATTGAAAAATGATATTAAATGAGAGAAGATAATATGATTCCATTATTGTCCCTTATCTACTACATTATTTAATTAATTTAATATCTACTCACACATTGTTGTTTATCATTAGGGATCAAATCATATATAGCATTAAAAAAAAGTATATCATTTTATATTTTTCACTTAATACAAGATTCAAGTTATTTTTTTCAGTTACATACCCATTGTCAAATATTAATCAACAACAAATAATCAAAAAATTTATAACTAAAATATTATAGAGAACAAACTTTAATATCATAAATATTTTTGTCAACATAATAACGTTGGATATTAAGATTTTTATGGTATTAAAGTTCGCTCCTTGTAATATTTTGGTTACAGATTTTTTTATTATTTGTTATTGATCATCTTTGACAATTAGTTCGAAACTGAAAAGAGTAATTTAGATCTTGTATTAAGTAAAATATATAAAATGATATGCTATTTTTGATGCCATATGATTTGAACTTTAATAATAAACAGCAAATGCTAATGTTTTCTTTAATGTTTGGACTGAATTAGATTAATTAAACAATTTAGTAGATGAGAGCAATGGGGAAATCATAGTATCTTCTTTCTCCTACTATTATTTTTTAATTGTTAATTGAATCTATTACGTTACAAAATAATAAAATTTAAGGGAGATTAATATAATTTTTAAAAACTAGAGGGAGGCTAGTGAATAGTCTAAAACCTCAAGAGAGGTTTTTGAAATTACCCCTTTGAAAATTCAACCCGGAAAAATTTTAAACGTGGCTGTCGAAATTGACTCATGTACAATAGAAGACTTGAAGTCTTCTTTTTGTCGGCATACAAAAGACTCGGAGTCTCCTCGGAGTAAAGTCGTTCCATCTGTACGTAGTTATAATGATTGCTCAGTCCAGCTACCATCCATCGTTTATGTCTTCTCATTTCATTTGACACTTCTTTATATTTCGGTATAAATTTGCTTGTATCTTTAGATACATGACTAATGCTGCGTTTAATAAAGTTAAAGTTTAAAAATTAAAATATAAAATATGAAATTTGAAATTTGAGTTCATTAGTTTTTAAATTATTAAATACTAAATTCGATACATTTGAGTATATAGCACATTAAGTAATAAATAAATAGTTTATCACTTATTTTTTGAAACAAATTTTGCTTAAAAAATTCAGTGCTATTTAATTAATTCAAATATTTTATTTTTGTTTATCAAATACATTTGAACATGTTAAGTTCTAAACCTTTTAAATTTAAGTGCTGAATTGAATTATCTAACAAGACCTAAGTTTAGATGTCTTATGAGACTA